GTTTCATGCTAACTGACCAATCAGTGGAGTTTATGAAAACATTAGTGGTCAATGTCAATTGCAGCGCAACCAATATTTTGTTTAGTTGGCTTACAGTCACACATTGTGCGCGCACTTTTAAACTGTTCACGATGCAGGTAAGTGGTCGCTGTGGTTCATTTTTAATTTTTTCCTAGTCTAATACTAAATACCCTCTATTAAGCCTGAAAAGATTACGTCAGCATAACCTATGATTGACCTGTCATTACACTTCATTTTGCAGAAGGTATAACGGATCTATGAGCAGGCACTGGCCGAGATCTCGGCCGCGTCGACGTCAAAGGAGGCTGTCACACCTGCTGTCCTTTCTGTTGAAGTCGAGCCGTCTTCATTGAACACTGATACCATGACCATTGAAACCGAGGTAGTGCCATCGCCACCTAGTAGCAGCCTAACACTAGCTGCTATTACTTCACAAATGTGCCCACAAGTGTCTTCTGAACATGATGACATGAAATATATTCTACTCAACATCATGGTTACCACGAACATATCACAAGAAGACTGTAACAGAATCTTGCAGATCTTCCGTGAGAGATTGCCTCAACTACCAACAACTGTTAGAACTGTCCTCAGAATGTGTGGCTCTTGCGAGTCAAGACTACTTGGGGACGAAATGTATTGCCACATCGGTCTCCAAAAATGTTTGCAGCACTACATGGAGATATCTGTGGTTGAAAGCTCCTACAACCAGATTGATCTGCAGTTGAATGTCGACGGATTGTCCATCTTGAAGTCTTCTAACTAGCAGCTATGGCCTCTGTTAGGTAGAATTACGGTACCATTCCTCAGTAGTGTATTCCTGGTAGGTATATACAGGGGTCCTAGCGAGCCGAGCAGTTATAAAGAGTTATGCAATGACTTAGTATCTGAGCTAAAGGATATATTAAGTCGAGGAATACACATTACCAGACTGAATAGGCATTTCAACGTCCATTTGACCGCCATCATTTGTTATGCACCGGCTAGAGCGGACGTGAAATTTATAGTAGGTCATAATGCCAGCGCAGGTTGCGACAAATGCACGGTTACGGGAAGAAAACTTGACGGCAGAATGACATTCGAAAATGGAATTTTTCCAACTCGGACTGATGACAGCTTTCGTCAAAGGATGCGGTCAAGTCACCACCGTGGACAGTGTGTTTTTGAGGAATTAAACATTGATATGGTTAAGTGCTTCCTTCTTGACCCAATGCACTTAGTTTATTCAAGGGTAGTGAGGAAGCTTATAAGTCTCTTGCAAGACTTAGTTAGAAAAAGGAGATACACATAAACCAGCCCATGCTTGAAAACATTGTCAGGAAGATATTAGCTTGTGCCAGAATGACACTCAGGGACTTCCCGAGAAAGTGTAGGAGGCTCACCGAAGTTAGTCGGTAGAAAGCCACTGAATGTCGCATCTTCCTCCTTTACCTAGGATTCGTATTACCTAAGGACACTATGCCACCCGGAATATACTGCAACTTCCAAAGACTTAGTTTAGCAGTTTACCTCCTACCTCACAAAAGGTTTTATCGGAATTACTTGGAAGGTTGCAGATATCAGTTAGTCAACTTCCTCAATGAGTTACAAGTGATTTGTGGCAAGGAACACTAAGTTTATAATATTCATTGTCTGCAACACTTAGCGGGAGGTGTCAATAAAATGGACCTTTGGAATCGTTTTCGGCGTTTCCATTTGAATATTATGTGCAGACTAATAGGCGTTCTATACATTCTAACAATGCGGTTGCAAAGCAGGCGGCACAAAGATTTGAAGAAAAGGTATTTCACGACTGCAAATCAGGGGCACTACACGATAACGTTCTGAATCAATGTGAAGTAGATGTAGATAGGCAAATAATTCACACCAGGCGTACAGTTATCACTTCCTGTTCACTAGATGACTTCTTCATAACCTACGGTAAACCTGGTCTCATAACTCAGATACCCAAGGAAGGATTGTAGTGGTAAATGACTCCCCAAAATTTTTGACCACACCAATCATCACCGAACATCGGATGCTGACCCTCACTGTTTAATTCGACTTGTTTAGCTGAAGGCTTCCGGTCAAGCATCCATGCCATTTGGTACTCCGTTGTGTCACGTTCGCGAACGATCACTAGCCAGTTAAGCATTCAAATCGGTCTACGATTTGGTCCCGAAATATATCTCGTAGTTTGAACGATTAAATCTGGTCTTTTGCTTTGCCTTTGGTACACGAGGAACGAATACTGTATAAGCTGTTGGTATTAGATCTTGCGTTAGTATACTCCGTACAATCCGCGAACGTCGATACCGTCAGCCTCTAAAGACTAAGACTCAGACTTTATATAGATGCCTGTGATTTCTTCGACCAGTCATTTAAGTCATCCCACATTGGAATATGGAAATGCTCCGGAGTAAGCCCCTACAATCAAAAAATTCAGACGTCAGATACTATTTTTAAGTGCTTCTGTATTCGTAAAAACAAGTATGAAGTAGCAGGGCTGTTGCCTCATACTTTTCCAGAAAGTGCTTACATTGATTGCGTCAACCGCCGGCATTCTTGTATCCAATGACAAGCGGACTAATGAGACTGTGAATTTTGTTTAAATCATATTCACTCATTTCTTACAGAACGAAAATAAGACTTACGCTGTGTCAAGAAAACCTGGTTCAAAAGAATTCTTCATAGGCGCCAAAAAATGGATGCTGGCGGATGATATGTGCGTGTATCACAGCAGTGTAACAGAGTCTGAAGTTCAATCATGTATAGACCCTGAACCGAATTGGCTCTTTACTGCCTGTTCAGGCGCTATCCTGAAAAGGTAATTATTTTGGTGTTAACTACATTCCCGTAATTAGACTCTTTTCTAGAAGCCAAGAAACTTTGTCGGGTATACTACGAATGCACAATACCATGGGCAGGTCAGATAATCTCGAGACCTTGCCACTAATCAATACCAAACGTCAACGTTAGATTCTTCTTATTGTTTGATGAAGTAATACAGAGTGAAGACAAAGGATTACGCCCCGTAAATTTATGACTCCGCTGGGCTAGAATCGGTGGAGGCGTAGAAAGTGTATGGACCATCTGAATACCCTAGCACCAAATTCATGGAAACTCTGATTTCACCGATAGCCGGGTGGCGAACTCATTTAATATTCTTATTACTTCAGCACTTCCAGTCAACAAATGCCAGTGGCGACGTCGTCACCAGTCACACAGCCAATTCTGCAAACTATGTGTGTTATTTTGAATTAGTGAATACTTTGCAGTAACACGGATTCCCTAAGAAATTGGTTACCAAGTTACATTCCCTTAAAGGTTAATTGAAGTCCCTTATTAAATTGGTGATGCAGTTGGTTTCACTTTAAAGGTCAAGCAACATCTCCGTCTTAGGAACCAGTCAGCCCTCCATTGACAATAATCAACTGGAATTCCATTTGGCAACTGAAGGATAATTAATCCAACTGGAAGCGTCACCGAAAACCCCAAAATTCAGAGATTCATCCGTAAGTTTACAATGCGCCACAATTAGAAAACAGAAGCATGAAGGTTAATTCCATTAGAGAGATGGTTGCCAGCAGGTTGACGTAAAGCGAATAAGGGGGAAATAATCGGCATAGAAGGGGGAAATAATACTAATCTTTTGGAAAATACGCCTCAAAACAGTGAAATATATGGCATGACAGGGGACGTTGTGCGGAGTCTGGGAAAGGGGTAAAACCTGTGCAATTCTCATTTATTTCCCCTTTTGTCTCCATAGAAGCTCCCACTTTTATCCCGCTTTTAGATACCATGTTTCCCCTATTTGTCCGATTGGGATAGAGTTATTTATCGTCTGGAAGTCTTCTTAAGGACAACGATTTTCCAGCTTATCTATTTCCATTTGACATTTCAACTTACACTAAGTAGTCTAAAATATCAAGGGAGCATAATAAATATAGTCAAATTAGGTTGCACTATTTGGTAACTGTTGGTGTTTGCTTTGATATACTGGATTTATTATTAGATGCAATAGATTTTGGAGTGAGGAAATATGCAGATTTTTTGCTCTGGCGAGTAAGAAGTATAATTCTGTGACATATCATGGGGCATGCAGAATATATGCATCTATTCACCTCGAAGCTGCTACCTTGATGTCATTACCACATTCGGGCAGAGATATCCGCCCAAGAAAACAGTGAGCTCTAGTTTAGGATTGAGTAATTTGGAGCCAAAAACTATAACAAAATATTGCTTTATCAATCCATTTTGAATCTAAACATGGCAACTTACATGAAATTCTGTGAATCGGTGGCACAGCGGTGGATTGCTCATCAACCACGTATGTATTTCAGGTTTCGACTACCAGCTGACTCAGCCCTTTACCTCGCTAAGTCAGCAATAAGGTTGGTAAAGAGGGAAGGTTAGGCATGAGGCTAGCAACCCTATCCAGTAAAAGTGAGCAGTACTGTTACTGAAATTTAAAGCCTGTAGATTGAAGCCCTATGTTCCACAAGGAAAGTAAAGGAATGGAAAAAATATGACGTTTTATATTTATTCTACCAATGGATTTTATCTCATTCGAAAACGTCTGCTACCACATGTGTGATTAATACCTGGGTTATGCATTGGTTTTTATCTATTTTAAATCATATTGGTACTGTCACGAAATTACTGGTAGGCTTCTCTTGGTTTCCACAGTGTAGTCGAAAGACAGATTATTATTATCCTTCTTTCCGATCACACCGGACGACTATCGGTTGAAAGGATCAACTCCATTCACAGTAGCTACATATCACATACTACAAATCACAAATGATCAATCGCCGCATCATTCCTTTCGGAACCAACCAAAGCAACAAGTGGCCGGACGAACTATGCAGCAGTTTACTGAAAATAAGGGACCATTACCTTAAAACCAAGAAGCGAGCTCAAAGAAATCAATTTGCTTCACACCTACTCGTGATATTGGAACCAACGCGTGAACACAGAAACTGAACAGTTTATGACAGCGATAATTTAAATAACTGCGTAACATCGTTTGCAGTTTCCCGGTGCCAACAATTTCTCACGATGGCTCTTATGCAGATCCACTTTACTTCGCAGTTCATAAATATCTGCGTGACAAATTTAGGGGTATTTTTGTGGTGTGTATGTGGTAATTTTGGGACATTTGTGAAAAAGTCAGCGAAACAAAAAAACATTTTGGGGCAGTTTCAAGGTTTTTGGAACTAAAAAATTCAAAATTTTGGAAAAATGCATTAGTTTTACGCAAAACCTGGAATATCCCCGAGTTTCCCCTCAAAATCCCCTAAACTGAAAAAACTCTAGGTTTCCCCAAAATGCTTTATTCCTAAATTTATAATGCAGATTCAGATAATACAGGATACTTGGCTCTTGTGTTCTGTATTAATACCCGCCATATACATCTGTATAGATCTACTTTCTCTTTGGAAGCATTCACTGATAAATCCATCAAATAATATTAGCTCGAGCTGATATTGTTTGTTTGAGTGAGGAATTCCTGTCGTTAACGGCTTACGTCAGTTAACGTGAACGGCTGGAATTCCACCCTCTGTGAGAATCGAAATTTCAACTAGATTATATTAGGGTTGCACTGATGTGACGTATAACTTTGCTTGGTGAGATGAAGTCAGCGAAATTCTCACTTAAGCAAAATTGAATTCAATAGATCTCTTGTTAAGGCGAATTGTTCCACCGTCCTTTTCGGCTGACAGAAAGGCCTTTTAAGTAAATATACCCCAGCCAGCAATTTTTTGGGGGCAGACCTAGGGGGCATTGCAGATTTTTTGGGGCACTTCGGGCGCATTGCAGACATTTTGGGGCGGACTTAGGGTGCATTGCAGACTTTTGGGGGCAGTCTTCGGGGCGAATACTCAAGAACGGCAATGCGCCCAAAGTTTTTTGCCCCGAAGAAATGCTAGCTGGGACGGACTCTTCCTGTTGTTCCGCAGATGATTTCTGTAATATTTTTCAACTCTAGCCGCCTATAATGTCCAGCAGCCTCGCTTGTTCATTATTAGCACTTCATAATTTGGTGGTTATGTGAATAACACAGTTTTGTGGACCTTTTACTTTTCTCTTCTCCTCTGGAGTCTAGAAATTAATTCCAAGAAAAGCGCGGTAATGCACCTAGGTCAGAGGTCTTACACGTCAGAACTGGCAGATGTTCGGGGACAGAAGGATTTAGGAAGTATTGTAAGCCATGACTTAAAAATAATGGTAGATTGTAATCGAGCTGCAGCTAAGGTTTCTCGAATGCTATGGGCACTTCGAAGGGCTTTCAAACGATTAGACGAGGGTATGTTCCAAGTATTCTATGCAACATATGTCAGACCTCATGTAGAACACTGCATACAAGCGGTGAGTCCATTCTTCAGAAAGGAGGCACATATCTTGGAAAGACTACAGATGGTAAGAACTAAATTAGTTAGTGGTATCTCACTGTTTCCTATTGATGAGAGGATGGAGCATTTACATCTCTTCCCATTCGCATACCTTATATTAAAGGGTGATTCAGGGATTGACCTTTCAAACCTTTTCGCTCCCTCTAGGATACATTTACGAGGTCACCACAAGAAGGTGCTCAAACCGAGGTCGAATAAAATACGTATGGAATTTCGATTCTCTCACAGAGTGGTCAACGACTGGAACTCCTTAGCTGATTCACTAGTAACACCTCCATCGGTGAAGGCTTTCAAAGAGGAACTGGACATATATCGCAAAGATTAACATAAGCAACAAGAGCCTTCTATCTTTAAATCTGAATGTGTGTAGTTTTAAGGAATTGCTTTTAAACGCTGATGAAAATTTTGTTTATGGTGACACGCATGCATATACTTTGATTTGTGTGAATTCTGAGGAACACCTAATTCTTAAATTACTTTAGGTGGAACTCAAAAGCACGGCAATTAACACCAAAGTCATTAAGCTTTAGTGATATCAGCTCACGCGTTTTCATTTAAGAAAAATAAAATTTCCATCTAGATACTCCGGCTAACAATTCTGGCTGTATCACTTACTTTTGTCAGCAGGCAATATTTTTAATATATCACCTATAGCTTGTGGTTTATGCATACAGTAAGATGCCTTTTTTATTCTGCAATGATTAAATTATAACACACCCAACCGTCATCCTACAATTTTCTGAAAATTATAAAGATTGTACGACCACTGAGTGATGGTTCAAGAGAAAACCGGCTTAAGCAAAGTTGAGTTTTTCGTTTCCGGAGTCATCAGTGGCTTTGTTGCTAGAGCTACAGTGCAACCACTTGATGTTTTAAAAACACGTTTTCAGGTATGGTTTTTAACGTATTTACCTGTAAGTAGCTACAAATGGAGCCCATTAAAGTTTCCACTGCAAGCAAGTATCAAGGTCTTATGCAAGCCGTCAAGTGTATTTATAGAGAAGAAGGTGTCTCAGCCTTTTGGAAAGGTCATCTCTCCGCACAAATGCAATCAGTGATGTTCACGAGTACTCAATTTCTCTCTTTTGAAGTATTGTCATCGTGGCTGCAAGAAATCAACAGTGTTACTATATCGAATGACAAAACTTCGAGTTTGTCTGTGACTTACAAACATGTAAGTAATTTTGTATGCGGTTGTGGAGCGGGAGCTGTAGCAACTGCTTTTAGTCAGCCCTTTGATCTTTTGCGCACTCGTTTCATAGCTCAAGGAGAACCGAAAATATATAAGTGAGTTTCCTGAAGTACGTCGTAGCGTTTCATCTTCTTAACAAAACCGTATTTATTTATTTGAACAAATAATTATTATGAAGAATGTGAGATTACCGCACCTGTTAAATGTAAGATAATTAGTTTACACCATGGCCTAATTTTCGATTTCGAAACAAATTAGTCGAAAGTAATTTGGGCGCAGAATGTTTGGGGCAGACTGCAGATCACTGTTCCACATTCTGCAGTGCACCCGAAGAAAATGCTAGTTGGAGTGTTAGACATTTTATGCATTTGAAAAGTCGCATTTGTGATTATGGATCAAGTTTACGAATAAACTGTAGTTTATATATCAGATATGTGTCTCAGTTGTATTCATTTAATATTTCGTTATAAAACAGCGCAATCTCTGACGTTTTTACATACACCCTGGAACATAGCATAACTGATATCAATCCGTGATCAACTCGTAAAAAACAAAACTAACCCTTACAAACCAAACTATAGAAAGTAGAAGGTAAGAAAAGTAGTAGAGCCAGCTAAGTTAATGGCCGATACCGACTAAGATAGGTTAAGCATATATATATATATATATATATATATATATATATATATATAGTCTTCTGTACATATGTCGGAGATACAACGCACATCCAAAGCCCGGAATGTCAAGGTTTTGGATACTTAAGTCTGTTATCCCACTGATGTAATTTTCGGGTACTCAAAGCTCCAATACAAAATTCTTATAGGTAATCTTTGAGCAGTAGGGTAGAATGGCTGCTTTTCTAGTTACTTGTGGAAACACCGTACTGATGTTCCAGCCCTATTATAAGATAGCATGTTTTCTTCCGTATTAGATAAGTTTATTTATATCAAATAAACTTACCTAGTATGGAATTATATTTTACCACATTGTTTAACTTCTCTTACAATAATGATAGCATGACTTTTTCCTCAAAGCCTGACTACAGATTATACAAATTGCCGTATGATTAAAGCTCTTGTTTGGCTAACCGCTATCTAACAGATTTTTATGGTATGGAGTAATCCGCAGGAACATCCATTTGCGCCAGAATAGTCCTTCGGATCACTGAAGTATTCAGGCTCGACCAGTGTGCGAGGAAAGCAGCTGTCGGTAGTAAGAACCAGATAACTAGCAAGTATTACTACGAATAATTATATAGAATTGTTATTTGACTGTAGGCAACTGAAGTCCTTCAAATATTCACTTTCATCATAGAGTAGTATGAAGTTAACCTTATTTCACTCTATTTGGTATTCAGTTCATTTTGTTAGTACCGTACTACGAAGAAGTGACGTCACTTAGAAAGGCTTATAATTGAATATTATCTACTCTTGGCTGCTGGCAGATGTGGACAACAGGTACATATAAGTTCGATATCAAGCAGTTTATCTGCCAAATTTCACTCAGAGTTTAGCTAATTTCCAAAACTCATTTATAATTAATAACCAGAGTAATATGTTGTAGAATTCATAGCTCAGTGTGCTGCTTTTTATTATTTGAATAGCATTGACCATAACAGATTTCATCTTGCGAATGTACTTTGTGTTCTTCTTAATTGTCAATAAGAAATGGATTGATTAGAAACAATAAAAGTGAACACTATTTCATTTTTGCTTTGTGTAGAAGTCTTTCACATGCTGCTATTTGTATACTAACCCGTGAAGGTCCTCAAGGATTTTTTCGTGGACTTGTTCCTTCTCTTCTACTACTCACTCCACAAACTGGAATGCATTTTGCAATATATCATGCATTTAATCAAATGGTTGACCTTGTAAGAGACCATTTAAATCCTGATAAGTCATCACAAGTCCACGGTATTTCTCATCCAGTTGGTAAGTTTTTGATTTTCCTCTTGAATTTTTCTTTTGTATCATTTCCCAATTTGCTGCGTACGACCATAGAATAGTTAAGTTGGATGATCCAACTAAGAATCTGTAAGCTTGCTGAACATTTAAGAAGTTGCATAGATCTCCACAGATGTTTGAGCGGTATAGACTGGTTTGGTAAGCCATTATTTATTTCTAGACATTGCACACATATACACACGTAGACTTAGGGTACTAACAGAATAGGTCATGTTAGAAGTGCAGTTATACCAGAGTTTTTCCGTATAGAATTTTCAATGGAAAGTGTACAAATAAACTAAGCGGGTTTGGGATACCAATATCTGCAACTGAAGGAGAAATATTTATATACAAGTAAGAAAAGATAACTCGTAAGACAGGTCTGAGTCAAATGATATATATATATATATATATAATTTGATTGTCTTTCATCTCATATTTCTGTAATAATTATTTTGGTATCTTTTATGTTTGGCTCAGGTGCTTTTCAAAGTTTTATTGCTGGTGGAATTGCAGGAGTAGGTGCTAAATGTGTGATATATCCATTAGACATGGCCAGAAGTCGTATGCAAGTACGGGTAAGGAAATGCTTTCAGTAATATCATTCCTAATTATATGCAAGTACTTCATAAACTTGTGTATCCTTAGCTTCGGTTATGGGAAATACCACCTTCGAGTTTCGTACACCAGTTTAAACTTCACAAGTAGCTAGATAGAACTACAGAAAGTATATATTTTTCATCTTTTATTAGTTTCGTTTATCAAGTTTTAATCTTGGCATATTGTGTTAGATTATACAATATTAGTTAACTTTGGGGGGGGGGGGGGAGAGTAGAAAAAAATCAAGTGAGCAATTGCAATTACTTTTCTAGAGACAGAGTTGGTAGGAAGCCAGTTTGTTGGCATCTTTCAAGCAAGGCGTATTTTGATTTTAAAAGGAAAGATACAGCCTTTGAGATTCAAGTTCGCATCACTCAGTCAGAGGATGCTGTCACTTATCTGGCTATAATTAATATCGTATAAGAATAAATTGAGTATTTTAATTGGTCTCTAAAACGTAATGCATATCATCTTATCTATCTTTGAGTCTACCAAAAAGCTTAACACTGTAGGTTCGAATGAATATCAGTCTTCTATAGACTTGAAGACTACAAGATGATAATTGTAAACAAATATGAAATCTATGTGTTATGACTAATTCTTTCTGTCTTGCGCGAATGTAGGTCATCTACCGTACTGTAAGCTTATTCGGTCATCATCACTAAAGACCAGACAAACGAGCTGACTAGTCTCTCTCTCTCTCTATATATATATATATATTTATATATGATAGGTCAGGTTTCGATTCCTGGTTGACAAACTCCTAAATGTTGCCTAGATGAAAGCAAATTCGGGTAGGTCGGTCATGAGACTAACAACTCTATCCCATAAAAGCAGACCTAACTACTAATACTGTGGTGGGGTGATACAGACAATGTGTTCCAATGGAATATTATTGTCACATATTCCCATAGTTCAATACGGCATTAGTAACAGAATACTACATGCATTTGAACATTCTATTTCATATCGTTTAATGTATACCAAAATCAGCATCAAAAATAAGATCCGGATTTTCAACTCCAATGTGAAGTCAGTGCTACTATACGGATCAGAGACTTGGCGCGTCATAAAGAGCATCTCAAACAAACTACAGACCTTCATTAACAGTTGTCTTCGCTCAATACTCAAGATCAGGTGGCCAGAAAAGATCAGCAACAGTGAGGGATCTCTGGGAACGAACCAACTCAGCAGGAACCGATTGGGAAACAAATAGGCAGGAAGAAATAGAGATGGATTGGCCATACTCTGAGGAAACCATCAAGTGACATCACTAGACAAGCCATCGCTCGAGTGGAACCCGACTGAATGGGAAGCGGCGAGTTGGTCGTCAGTGCGAGGGTGACTTGGAGGAGGTCATGTGAAGAGGAGATGAAAACGTGTGGGCAGACTTGGAGCCAGGTGAAGACTCTAGCAGAGAACCGAAAGCAATGGAGACGCACGGCTGAAGCCCTATGTTCCTCTAGGAATTAAAGGAAACAATAATAATAATAAACCAAAATCACACGCTCAGTGATTAGTTAAAGAATATAAAATGTATATGTATAAACAGCGGTTTACTCAATGTAAAATTTTACCTTTGCTTTCGTGTCTTGCCTTTCACTGTTACAACAGGACTTCAAAAGTTTGAAATTCTGTGTTCCACTCAGAACGTCAGGGATGTAAAAGTTCGCCCTCTGTGTGATAGTATCTTTCTCAGCTTACCGATAAAATTTCTGTGTATTCTCAGATATAGGTGACATTCAAAATGAAATATTATTTTGTTATAAATTATTTAAATTAATCCCAGCATGTTAAGAAAATCAAAACAAGATTTTTCTGAACGTTTCGCTGTGTAAGCCACAGCTTCTTCAGAAAATTTATTCGGATTTTTACTTCGAATACTCAAAGAACGTCGATAGTGTATCCTCTATCATAGCGCTGTTAGTCAACAGATTTTGTCTATTTTTCTTCGCTTTTCATAGGGCTTCGAAGAAGCACGTGCTCAATTTGGCCAGGTTCCAAAGATACAAGGCAGCTTGTATAAGTGTTTAGCTGAAATATGGAAAGTTGAAGGTGCTGCAGCAATTTTCAAAGGCTTGAAAGCTACACTACTTAAATCTTTTGTTTCTATATCTTGTAGATTTGCAGTATATGAACAAGTTTGCAAAGTTCTTTTATACTACAATCACTCATAATTTTATTGTTCGTATTGTGTATTCTACTTTTTTCTGTCGATGATCTGTGCCTTTCAGTTTCCAGCCAGGGTTATATGTGTCCTTCCTCCCTTTCTTTTCTCTTTGCTAATCCATCTGACTGCCTGTATCTAACTAACATTGACTTTTTGCATTGTGCATACATTCACGGACTGTTTGACTGTTGTTCATAAGTCCAGAGGGAAGTGAAGACCCCTTAGTAAACAGCTGAAATTGGTCTGACTCAGGATCACTCGCAACTTCAAAGATGCGTCAGTTAAAATCCAGATAACAGACATTTTTCCAAAACTTTTGTTATTGTTTTTACATTTCATTAATGGTAATAATATTAATATCAGCTATTTTTCGAAAATTATTTTTACACACAATGTTCAGTGTAATTTTTTCTTGCAAAATATTTATCTTCTATGGAATCTTCATGTGAAATATTCATTGACAGTATATTGTATGATGCTCTGTCATTCTGTCTGTAACAAGACTTAATCCTCTACAACATTTTTCTTCCGGCTTATTCTTGAAATGTTTTTTTGTCTTGGTGAATTTAGTTGTTTATACTTTTTATGTCTCTATTATTTGTTTTAGCGCTACCTACATTTCTAAAAGCCTTTAGTGTCATTTCACTGTCCCATTTTGGTAATTTAAATTTCTTTGATTGGTTGGACGATTTCATCATGAGCTGACATCAGTTAGAGAATCACTGGAAAACCTGCGGGGAGTACTGAACAGCTGTTTCGTCCTAGTTTGGGACTTTCCACAGTACGCATCCTCCGGGGATCGAACCCAGGACCTTCTGATTACAAGGCGAACTCGTAGACCATTAAGCCACTGGGACCCAATCCAATGGCCCATGAATTCTAACTTCTGCCAATTCATGACATAGCGTGACCACTTTGCAATGTCTTCTTCGATGAGTTACTGCCTTACCTTCAATCTGCTCTACCCTACTTGTGACGGCTTCTCACTAGAACCCTAGGTAATTACCTACCTGAATAGGGCCAGTCTCCAGTGTGCATCAAACACCATTCTATCCAACTTGTTTTATCGTGTTGCGTAATGTTTTATTTGTTTTATCTTGTTGTGCACCCTTTTCTACAAAGTCTTTTTCGTTATCACAGGATATCTGACTACGACTAAGGCCTTATAACATGCGAAAAGTGTTTCTACATCCCGTTATATCTATCACCTTATGTGTACATGTCGTCACACATGTATAGGGAGGACTCATCAACCTCTGGTTTTCAGAGCATACTTTAAGTGACTTCAGAAACAGATTGAATTTTCTGAACCTGTCGACAGTGAAAATGGATGATCCACCTCTTCCACTGAGAAAGAAAGTGTAGATGCAGGGTATACAGTTCATATTTATACGTCTTTTAGTAATAATATTGGCTTTCTTCTGGATATTGTGTCTAAACACAATACTGAATTCTCAGCGTAATTTCTTAGAAAAAATTTACTCCCCACATGAATCTTCAAGTAAATATTCATTGACAGTATACAGTCTGATATAACGTTGTTCCACGAGAAATAAGACTCAGTCCTCTATGACATTTTCCCTTTATTTCCTTCTTGAAGTGCACACTAATAGGTTAGAAGGAAATTAAAAATTTGCGTGAGCTCTAAATACTTTCCAAGGACAAAATTGGGAGAATAAAATGACAAGAAACGGGGGAAAGTAGATATTATTATGCTGGATGGATGTTTAAGCGACCCAGTATATTATATATTTGCTAATCCCCTGAATAAATTAGCACTTTCCTTCCGTTTCTGTCATAGCATCTATCCCTAACAAGGAATTTACTGATATCTTGAGTGTTCCAAAATACAGGTGATGACATTGGCTTGTGTTAGCGCTTTATATCGCGAACTGGAAGAAGTTGAAATTCATAGGCCATTGAGTTGGGTCTCAGTGGCTACGAGCACACTTTGTAACCGGAAGGTTCTGGGCTCGAACGCCTGTGGGTGCGTACTGCTGGGGAATCTCAAACTAGGGAGAAACAGCTGTTCAGGACTCCCTGGTTTTCCAGTGGTCCAGCTCGTGACCAAACCTGTAATAGAACAAATACCAGGTATCCCATCGAAGTATGTAAGGTAAATACATAAAACTGGGTGATTTTGAAGCAATTATATATATTAACATTTGGTCCATGTGATAAATTTAAATAAGGCATTCAGAAGACTAGTATTGCGAGATGATATCATTTCGTAGTTTCCTTACAACTGCATTTAATAATAACAGAATCTTTGACAATCAGTCAGGCAGAAAAATCCCATTCTAAGTCATACACAAAAGAAGGGTACGACTAAGTGAAGATTACAGAAAAAGACGGAAGCTGGAATTACCTAGTAAGTGTGAAAAATGACTGATTAATCTAAATGGAATAAAGCTAATGGAGGTACAGTAAAGTGTTGACATAAATCCTGTTTGTGGAATATAGTGTTATTAACTAACAATAATACTGACTGTAGCAGTTATTCAAAGTAATCAGCTCATGCAACTGACACTTCAAAGGTTACGGTTAGCTATCAAGCACACATCGATCTTGCTCTTCTCTCGAACATTTTAATTCCATTTGCTTACGATTAACAGACGAAACGCTATGCACTGTACGTACAGTTTCGTTTGCAGTTGTGTGGACACATATGTAGGTAGAATCAATAGAATGTTCCAATGTCATCGGAGAGAACATATTCTTAAATGGTTATTAGATCACATGGAAAATCCAAATGCACCTAATAGGAATAAAAGTTCGTCATCATTCACCGCAAAAGCTTTATTAATGTCTAGTAGCAAAATCAGTGTTACTGAATGTTTATCACTTATTTTACATAGCTTTAATTCAAAGTTTATAAGAGGTGGTGAAAGTATTTCGAACCAATCAGAAGCATCCTAAACTATAACCTTACATAATTCACCAATCTACTAGCCAGTACAATGCCCAGAAAAAGAGGGAATGTTAGGCGTGCGACTACCGAAACTTCAATATGTACATGAAATATCAAAAATTTATTCTTCACTGGAATGGGATAGAACAAATGATGCAGGCTGGTGGAATCCAGTCAACCAATGTGTCTCCTACAGATAAAAGCAAAACTATGCATAGGGACATGGAATATCCACACAATGTTCGAAGGTGGGAAGCCTCTTATCAGAGAGTGGAACATAAATAAAGCACATACAGCAGATATCGTTTAACTATAAGAAGACAATTATTACATATCAAATAGATTGTTTATACATAACTGAGATAAATTTCAATGGGAAACAGTAATAGTTACGGAATAACGACACTGTAAACAAAACAAACTCATGCTACTTACTAGTGTGAAGTAGTGTAAAGTTGAACACAGACAACCAATAACAAAGGATTGAAAGTAAGGAATTAGTACCATCCCTCATAACAAAACTGGATTTCTCTAGTGTACCATCTAATAGGATGCAGATATAATAGAGTTTACTCGTCTCACATCTTTCGATGAAAGCGGAAGCAAGGATGGGCAGATGGAATTTCCTCCCAATGCTCGAAGCTGGGAGGGCTACAAAACAGATGAAAGTGCTCGGAATTTGTGAGGGCAAGTAGGATGGATTTATACTCCGAATTGTTAACTGCAGTCAGTAATCTATTCCGGTCACCCAGATGACAATCATGATTATACTAAGGGAGTGGCTATCATGATTTCACCAAAAGTAGCCATAACTCTCATGCAGTGGAAATTGGGGCTGCGACAGCAAGATTCAATTCACAAGGAAGGAAAGTTACAGTTATCCAATTCTACAATCCTGCAAACAAAGCTGATTCAATGAAGAAGAAGAAAGACTTCTACACACGACTGTGAACAGTGAATGAATATATGACTGACGTATCTCTTTTAGAGATGGAGGTCATTGGTTGTTGACGATAAGGTATTATTTTCATTTTTGAAAGGTATTGTTATATTTTAGAATTTTTAATATATTTGTGCGTTGAAGTTTCTGTAGCGATTTGGTTAAGTTTTGGGGGTGGAGTTGCTAGCACCACACCCCAACCCTCCCTCTTTATCCGGGCTTGGAAACGGCTAGAAAACTAGCGAGCTAGTAATCTAGGCGAGGTTTCTTTCTTTTAAAGAGACGATTAGTATGTGGAAATCGACAGAAGATCAGAAAAAAGCCTATCGCGATCACTAAGAGAACGCAGAGAAACCGACGTGATCTAGATTAACTTCTGAAGAAGAAAGTCGATGTACAGTTCCAAACTTATTAGACTTGTCATTTGGTTGTTGATTTCGGTGGAATCTGAGCTGTTAACGTCACTAATACTGTTAAGATACAAACAATAGTAGTAAAATGTCAGAACCATGTTTTCGAAGAATGAAGCGAACATAGAAAGCGTTAATGTGCATATAGAGCAGCACGGTTAAATTTCTGACTTGGTAAGGTAGTCATCTATCTCAGGAAAAATCAACTCTGCGTAGCATAGTAGGACATCACAAGTACCGGAGCCTTATAGGCATGGATTATCCGGGCTTGGGACCGGCTAGAAAACTAGTGAGCTAGTAATCTAGGCGAGGTTGGCGACCCCGACTATTATTTTCATAGTTAGCCACAAAACAGTCGGCCAAGAGGGATCCTAGGAGCGGTCCCATTGCTACTCCATCTATTTACCTGTAGATTTTGTTGTTGAATCTGAAGTAGACATCAGAAGTGCATGGGAGTACAGCCTCTTTAGATAATGAATCAGTACGCTGAGATGAATGTTGTTAGGTGATTTCTGTCAGCGTGAAGTGTAAACAGAAAGATGACATCTAAGGAAATCATCCTTTTTTCTGCAAAATTAACATCCTTAAGTGAGTCGACAAAACTAAATGTATCCCGGAGATTGTATTTCGACAGACCATCCTTCCTCATTCCGTGAATCTCTCACTACTATCTACTTCATAACCGAGTGCGAAGAGAATTTGTCATATCTAGCATTGAGCGGAGTGGAACATCTTGTTTATGCATATCAGGTAATCCGTACATGTGCGGCATTTTAGAAGCAGAAGTATTAATCTAGTAGAATATGATCAGCTACATTGTTAGAACATACGATTCTAGGCGTATCCACAGTGACTCAATCACTGTTTTAGATTGATTAATCTGAAATATTACTTTCATTATTATGCATGGACTTATATCTAATCAAAAACAATAGATTGGGTGGGGTTTAAAATACAACATGGTAATATGTGCGTATGTAGAATGAGTTATTTCAAGGAGTCTTTGTTCATCGAATTAGTTCCAAGAAAATGTTGCAGAAGACCTGTGTTACGACTGGAACTCCATCCTTTAAAATAAACACTGCTACAGAAACTTCAAGCCACTAGCTTGAA